CGGGCGGGCGGGCGGCAGGGTGCGGTGCGAGGTGCCAGCAGAGAATGCCCCTCGGTTAATTGATTATTGAGGCGCTCGCGTGCCGAGACGGCGGCGCGGGGCGCGGGGGCTAAGGCAGAGGCGACGGCGGAGGGAAGGCGGGCAGAGCGGCTGCCGATCACTGGCGCCAACTGCCTATTCATTCACGTTCCACTACTGCTGCTTCATGTTTCGCTTCTTAATTGCCGGCGTTTTTCGCCGGTTTCTTTCGGAATGTTGGCGGGCGGAATTCAAAACGGTAACTACGAAAGCCTAGGAGAAAAACGAATATTTATCTTTCACAGTTAGTTGAAAAATTGTCGTTCAGTACTAATAGTAAATGAAATAGTAGCATTTCAAAATTACTTTTAGAAGCCTTTATAGTATTTAGTAGATCTCTCGTTTCACTGGCTACTAGTTCAATCCATAAATCACATCCGTTAACCCGTTAACCACAAATATACTTTGTTTAATCTCAAAAATGTTCTAGTTTGAAATTTTCATGTAATTGCACAAACATTCTTTACATACAATGCATATTTCAAAAACGGTTTTCCTTTTTTTCTTTTGCATTTCCATTATTATAAAAATATTTTAATGATGAGCGATCATCTTTTTCAAATAACTTTTATTACAAGAGGAACTATAATTATTAATATAACAATGGGGCTTTTTATTATTAAAATTAAAGAAACGGAATCATTGTTCAATGTATGCCCAAGATTTTAAATAATTATTTTTTAAAAGAAGATAATGTAAACGAGTTTGTTTTTTGAGAATTTTTGTCTATGATAGATTTGCAAATCTGTTCGCAAACCTGGCACGTAGATTTTATTTATTATTGTGTATTAATGTATCGAAAATAGATTGATTAATTATTTCGTCTTTCAACTTCAATAGTCATTAGTCCTGTAAGTGCCGTGGACGATTTTGCCGCGGTACGTGGCGGTATTTTTACCTCCCCACGGGATTTGAGATATGGCGCAGAAATAATGTCGCCATGGGGGGTTTCCCCATCCAGGTATCTTCAAACAGTGGGGAAGCACCCTACCTGGGACCAGCTTCCGACTGCACGGTTGTGTACTGCGTGCGTAATGCCTTTTGCTGCAGGTGTGTTGTGCTACGAGCAGTGCTTACAGGCAATTGCAAATGCTTTCAGTACAGAATGCAAATATAGTAAACATATTTCTCTCGCGTATGTATCGAATGTTGTGAATAATATCCTCGAATCTCTTACGCTATACGTTATACACTATTGTACGCACGTGCATTTACCATTCCTCGTGTGTAAGTGAGGGGTGACGACAGGATAAGGAAGAAGAAGGATACGCCGCGTGCGATTAATGGCCCATTTGTTAGGATACTGCTCCGGCATTCACCTGGTGTTGCTTGGAGAAACCACGATCGGAGCTGGTGGCAAGAGGTCTCCTCCAGGTGGTGGGTGAATTCGATCAGCCATCTAGTTAGTGTCGATTGACCTACCTCCGCCGAGACTCGAACTCTAGGATCTCCGAATCGGAAGCGCTGCAGTGACAAATGATGCCTTTAACCAACAGAGATATATACTTGAAAAATAGAGATAATACACTTCCTTAGTACCCTTAACAAAGTAAATATGTTTAACGGCTGACCTGAATGATGGGCAAATGAGATAAGAAAAACGGATAGCTTCATCTATTTCCACGTGGAAGAGTTTCGCCTGTTAGTGAGATGTAAGGCCAGATTTACGCCGCCAATTTCAGTACACTTCCGACGACAACGGGATAACGTCCACAACAACAACGTCAGAGGAACGGCCCAGGAGCACCAAACAAATTACTCAAGTCGCAATTACGAGCGAACAGACGCCCACTGGGTTATGACGTCATAAATCGCGTGGTCTCCTGAAAGGGGCAGTAACAGAGACGTGATGCCATGGAAGTGGAGGTAACAGCCAGTTTCAGAGGGAGATAGTGATGATGGTGATGTATTGGAAGGGTCTGGAATACGTTTCAAGTGTTGAAACGGGTGCATTTTAAACATATTTCCCAGGAGATTACAAAATTAGATTTCCCTGTGTATTTAATTAGGCTTCTTAATAAAGTAATAATTTTAGAGATAGTTAATTATTTAGGCATAATTTTTGCTGTCTTATTAAATAATATTGGTATTTGAGACGTTCCGATATAATAATAATATTTTAATAATAATAATATTTATTTGGCTACAATTGGCTGATTGCCAGGTGGTAGCCACAACCATACAGTTTTACAATATATGAACATTTATAATTCAAAAACAATTTACAATACACTTCTTTCGAGCATATACACTCAATATATAAACATACACAGACCTGTATACATCTATGGCACATATATACACCCATACATCCATACACACACACACACATTATATATATATATATATATATATATATACATAACATAAAATATACACATAATACATAATATATACATATACATAAAATTAACCAGTTACACAATTTGTTTTTCAAATATAAACACAATGTGGATTTTTAAAGTTAGCTCTTTAAGCATTTAGATTTGCTCACCCACCTTACTGTTCGCCCAACTATACACTTCACTACATTACACCTATAACACTACACTATACACTACTACTTACACTTTACACTACTACCTTTTTTCACTAACGATCATTCTCTTGTATGGCTTATAGCCATATTAAACTAATTAAAGTAGCTTTCCACTTGCCACTGAAACTACACTCACACCTTTAGTCTATAAATAAAATCTACAAATGGTGTATTCTATGAAAGCTGTAGCCGGTAAAATAACAGGCCGCCTCTACAAGTACTTATTAAGTCGTTCTTCTAAAAACACCAACCAGAGTCAGGAAAAGGCTCTACGAACCGCTGCAGGGATTTCATTCCAATTTTTAACCGTACGATTTACAAATGAATATTTCCCTAGTCGGATGGTCTGACATCTACGTTTTATTGCATTTGTGATCGTTTCTCCAACTCTTGGAGGGGAGTCTAGTCTTTTCGTTATTTCTGCCCATGCTGGTGATTACTTGTACCCTTGAAGAGCAGCACAATCTGGCTTTTTTTTCTTCGCAACTGAGGGCCTCTATAGGTTGGTGGATTTGAACTACTCCGAAGATCCTTATTTATGAATTTTGATTGCTTCTTTTGAATTTTCTCTTCAATCTGACCTAATCTGTGTGGATCCCATTCGGCTGATTGCGTATTCAAGAATCGGCCTAACTAAAGATGTGTATCCTATTTTTCGACTCTCCATGTTTCCCTTTTAAGGTTCTCATTACAAAGTGTAGCTGACTTCCACGCTTTTCGGCAGTAACGTGTTCCCCCACCCTAGTCTTGGCGTAATATGACACCCAGATATTTACACACGATACTTGTGGAATGAAACCACCGGTATGTGGAACCGTTTTCTGTGAAGTTCACATAATAATTACAATAACACTTCATTATCATTATATTATATATTATTACTGGTATTATCGTTCATTAATATTATTATATTTATTAGTTGTCGGCACCCCGTTGTAAGAAATACGAACGCATAAAATGCATATATGTCAAGTGAATACAGAACTCATAGAATTAGGCAAGCTCTCCATCTTATTGTTCTTATCCTTCCTCTCTTTTTCCTTCTTTATTTCCTTTTCCAATTCTTGTTGTCCTTTTTTCTTTTTCCTACCATCTTTTATATTCTTTCTTTTCATTCTCTTTACCTCTCACCCCTATTCTTTTTTTTGTCTTCGTGTCCTCCATCTTCCCGGCTATTTGACGTTCTTTCTAATATTAATAACGTCCACAATTCCAGAGTTCGCTGTATTCCGAAATCATAAAACGGATATACGTTCCAGCGAGTTGCGTATGAGGCGATTCTTGGTGCTCTGCTTAATTATTTAACTGATGATGATGATAATATAATAATAATAATATAATATAATAATAATATAAATAATAATAATAATGTTACTATTATTCCTCAATTGACCTCCAAAAGATATTTTGTTGCATATAAAATGTTACTCCTTGCAACCAACTTCGTAAGGATCCAGAGACTGACGGTGCCTCTATAATACTTCGCAACAAAATGTGGACTATTCTCAACAAATCATTTATATTATATTATTATTATTATTATTATTATTATTATTATTATTATTATTATTATTGAAAGCACAAATTGAAAGAAACTTTCCCCTCGGTGTGCGAAAAAACTGTGGGCGACAGAAGTGGAGCAGCAGCGGCGTCGTGCGGAGTCGCCGTGGCGGTGACGTGCGGGCGCGGGGCGGCGCGGGGGCCGGGCCGAAAGGTAGTCGCGGGGTGCTCACGGGGCGAAGAAACAACACCGAAAGGCACTCCGGCGCCGAGGACCTAGATTTCGGGGGCGGGGCGGTCAGGGCGCGCGGCGGCGCACAGGCCGCAGAGCACGAGGAGGACAAGGCCGCGAGAGAAAACAGCGGGCCGCGGCGCCGCTGCAACGGCCGGCGAAACGGTCGGGCGCCGCCGCCGACTCGCACGCGGGGCTGCAGGCAGCGAACGGAGCGGCGGAACGCTTGCTCTCGGGGACAGAAATTCTGTGTAGACCTGTGGCGGCTTGCGTTAAACAAAAATTGGCAAAATGCGTCCGTAAACGTAACATTCTCAAATGTGCTCATAAAAATTAAATTGAAAGTTCTCTCACAAATCTCCTACGGCACTATAGTTAACCTTTTGGTTTACCATATAGTTATTAAAATGGTCTGGTACAAAAATGTAGCCAATTTTAGGTGCTCCCCACTTTTTATTTATCAATTCTCCTTTGATTTTTTATACTGAATAATTAGCGTCTGTAGTCTATTGTACTACAGTTCTCCACGCAGAAAAATCATTATCGGACATTGGGTCAATCGTGACTTTTCAATCACATTAACTGGTTCAGAGAATACCGTGATCAAAACTCGTCACATCGCTCACAGGGCTTCGCGAGTCCTAGGCTCTTAATTATTATTGCTTTGCTGGGTACTTTCTTACAGACATCTTGGAAAATAAAAATAAAACATCAGTTAAGCCAAGGAAATAAAGTTATTCATCTTTGCGTCGAAGCAGACCCCTGATATACGCGGACTCGGCAGCCCAAACATTCCCTTTGCATGGAAACCCTTTATTCCCAGAGAAGAATTCTGCGCAGCGCCTTAGTTGTGTTGGAAGCTCAGATAGTCAGAAGTCTCGGTACAGCACAGGAAAAATGAACTCACACATTCACTGTTTTGTGAAATTAAAGAAAGCAAAATAAATACAAAAAAGAAGGTGGAAAATAAAACAAATACAAAAAATTACAACAGAAAAAACATCCTAGACAAAGGAATAGCAATATTATTCAAAACCTTTGTTGCTTATTGATGCACATATTTTTGCTTGCTATAATCACTAATGGATCACTCAATAGATTATTTGATATAATTGGAGCTCCGAAACAGGCCACAACCATAATAGGCAACAAATTACAACCAGCAGTCCACTCCTCCAACATTCACTGACGTGACCTTTTTTTAACACTACACTTCTGAGATTATAGGAAAAATGACCGTGTATTTTAGTTCAAAAAGGAACATTTATACAAGTTATACTAACAAAATGCTACAAAATATTTCATTCTTACGATCAATGCTATCAATTTCTGTTGTAAAATTGTGGTTTTGTTCCCATTCCCTTCCAATGACCCAAATCACCCACTTTTTTCAGAGTATCTGAATCTTCAATTTCTTGTTATTACATTTCTTAATTTTTAGAAGCCGTCGCCATAGAAGCGTTAGTCCTTGTGGCCGTATTTGAGTGTTCACAGTGGGAAGAATTCAAATGAGACGGCCTTTATTCGCAACCACTATTCTTCATGTTACTTCGCTTTGTTCTACTTAATCATCGGACACATGGGGTACGCATGACGCACATTGTCCCTGGCGTATGATTCACATGACGCTAAGACCCAAGGAAGGATTTGGGTACTGAGAGGGCCTTCAAGCACAAAACCGTGTTGGATCTCTTCTCTGAAAAAAGTGTACAAAACATATTATACAATATATCAATAAAATATTCAATAAAATACTTTTTAAATTTTTTTCAAACAAGATGTTTAATGCAGTTGAGTAATTTATTAAAATATTTCATCAAATTGTATTTTTATCTAAAACAGTCATCCTTAAACAATTTCATGTTTCTAAAATAAAAGACCAAATACAGAGCGACAAATTTGAAAATGTACAGACAAAAAATAATATTATATTTTTAATTGACTAATAATATCTCACACGTTAATATATAACCACACTTCACAATTTCAAAAAAAAAAAATATAGAATGAAATATTTTTCCAAAACGCGCCCTCCCCCTCATTAATTGGGTTTCTAAGCAACTGTAATTTCGCCAGAGGGTACATCCGACCTTGCTGTCTCTCTGCACGTGCACGAATGTGTCTGCGGCCGAGCGCCTCTGCGGCCACCGCCGCCCGCCCCGCCCATCCACGCGCCTATGGAATTAGCGCCGCGCCCCTGCCCCTCCGCCCGCGGGTCGCGGGGGGCGCCCGGAGGCTCGCGCCGGGCGTGCGCTGCGCACCGCTGCATGGGCGTGGCTTGGCGGCAATGCTTGGTGTCGCGCGGGGCCACTCAAAAATGCATTCTGTTAAGTATGAAGTGGAGGTTTTATTTTAAGGCGCCTTATTTTGCATCCTTAGGTCCTGCAGTCTTTCAATGTTTGCAAGCCCCTCCCTCTTTATCTTCGGGGTAGATTTAGTCTCTTGACAAAGAAGTTTCTATGAAAGTATAGGTATTTAATTGGCTGCTTTATAATAATAATAATAATAATAATAATAATAATAATAATTATTATTATTATTATTGTGGTTAATATTATGGCATATTTTGAAAAAAAAAAAAAACACGAAAGAATACTTTCCTCTCGCACACACACCGCAGAAACTTCTCCCGCTTGGGAGAGTCAATTACTCAGCTACTGGCCAAATTTGCATCTTCTTGCAATGTTTCCACACTTTGAACATGGCATAAATATATCACTAGAATATTCCACGATTTAAAAACAGAAGTTTAAATCCCAGCCATATTTGTAGCATTTGACAATGCTTGCACAATTACTTTGGTCACGAGATATTAATATCTCAAGATATCTGCAAAATGAAATCCTCATTTTAATACAATTTCAATGTGTACACAGTTTGATAAGTGAAAAAATTATATCTTTAGTAAAGTTAGAATATTGCACAAGTAGCACTAGGAATGCTCAAGAGTATATAAGCGTGAAACGAATTATTGGGAAACGATTGACATTCACAATATGAATTTGAATTAAGTCTATGAACTACTAATAATTTCATCAAAATATACATGATCAAAGTTCTATGTTTGCCAGTTTTTGCTGCTTCCTAATTTTTGTTTGCAGGGGTTCAATTAATGATTTACAAGACATAGAGACATTATAGAAACATTAGAGAAATGAGTGGAGAAAGAATTTTGAAACGAAGCGTTTTTCTTAATTCTCTAAAAATTACAAACAGCTACAACAAATCCGATACGGTGAAAGCTGTTTAATGGAAGGATTTCTCTCGTAATTTACTTCACATAAAAAAGTTCCTACAAGTTTGAAACTAAAAAGAATGAAATCCTACTAATTGAGATTTTACGAGAATACCAATCGTATACGAAGAGAAAGAATAAATTGTTCAAGCTCTGCTCCCACAAATCTCTCTGAGTCGTGGCCTTTGCTCTTTTGCAATGCGACAATTCTCTCAGCGTGAAATGTGTTCCGTTCCGTACAATAGTATATTACTCTCCGAGCAAGAATACTTTCATCTCAAACAGTAGAAAACGCCTCAATGTATCTCCCTACTTGGGCCCATTATTCAACAATAAAAAATGCCGAGTGCAGTTTGCTCTTGCCATCACCCCCGATATATCAAAATAACAACTGAGATGATATACTCTTTCTATCACGAGGGATTGAGTTTTCTTCAATGTAAGAATTTGTTTTAAATTTATACATTTTAGAACAATTTTAACCTTCAGGCTTTATTCCATCACAACAATCGTTTAGAATTTAGCATCAAACAGAATTAAATGATATATATATATATATATATATATATATATATATATATATATTCGAAAATAGTTTTGTTTTAATGTATATATCTCATAGCATTTATTAGTGACTTTATCTATCGTTATTACAAAGAACATATATTGCAGTTGAATGAGCTCTTTGTCTCTGATATTTCCGTTTTGTTTGCAGTTGCTTGCTGCTTTGTCTCGTCTTGATCTTCTCATTCTTTAAAAATAATTCAAGCAACATTCTCATTCGGCCTCGGAGGAGTATTTTCATATTAAAAACCCGTGTACGTATTGTATAAGTTTGTGATAAAAAGAAATTGTACGTATTACATACATATACTTGCCTTGATCATCCATCCACGGTACAATTTGTTTCTTTGAACTTTTTCTCGTATAAAGCAAACGACTCCAAAAAATAGCTTAGTCATTACTCTTTATGAATTTTCGAAAATTTCAAAAGTTACGCTTAAAGCGAGAATATATGTGGCGTTGTAGCACTAAGTTTTAATTCTGTTACAATGTTCTGGAAGGATCTTGGGAAATGGATAGATCTCAAATGGGGTCTAACCGTTAGTAAGAGACGGACGAAGAGTCACAGTTAAATGCAGGTTACCCGATTAATATAGGTGGGTTGGGTACGGTATTTCTGTTATCCTGCCTCTA